GGAGGAAGAAGAAGCAGAAGAGGAAGAAGAAGAAGAAGAAGAAGAAGAAGAAGAAGAAGAAGAAGGAGGAAGAAGAAGGAGGAAGAAGAAGGAGGAAGAAGAAGAAGAGGTGGAAGTAGAAGAAGAGGAAGAATAAGAAGAAGAGGAGGAAGAAGAATAAGAAGAAGAGGAGGAAGCGGAAGAAGAAAAAGAGGAAGAAGAAGAGGAAGAAGAAGAGGAGGAGGAAGAAGAAGAAGAGGAGAAAGAAGAAGAAGAAGAAGAAGAAGAAGAAGAAGAAGGAGGAAGAAGAAGGAAGGAAGAAGAAGGAGGAAGAAGAAGAAGAAGAGGAGGAAGAAGAGGAAGAGGAAGAAGAGGAAGAGGAAGAAGAGGAAGAAGAAGAAGAGGAAGAGGAAAAAGAAGAGGAAGAGGAAAAAGAAGAGGAAGAGGAAAAAGAAGAAGAAGAAGAAGAGGTGGAAGTAGAAGAAGAGGAAGAATAAGAAGAAGAGGAGGAAGAAGAATAAGAAGAAGAGGAGGAAGCGGAAGAAGGAAAAGAGGAGAAGAAGAGGAAGAAGAAGAGGAGGAGGAAGAAGAGGAGGAGGAAGAAGAAGCAGAAGAGGAAGAAGGAGGAAGAAGAAGGAGGAAGAAGAAGGAGGAAGAAGAAGAAGGAAGAAGAAGAGGAAGAGGAAGAAAAATAAGAGAAGGAAGAATAAGAGGAAGAAGAAGAGGAGGAGGAGGAGGAAGAAGAGGAAGAAGAAAAAAGAAGGGAAGAAGAAGAAGGAGGAAGAAGAAGAAGAGGAAGAAGAATAAGAAGAAGAGGATGAAGAGGAAGAAGAAGAGGAGGAAGAGGAAGAAGAAGAAGAAGAAGAAGAAGAAGAAGGAGGAAGAAGAAGAAGGAGGAAGAAGAAGAGGAGGAAGATGAAGAAGAAGAGGAAGATGAAGAAGAAGGGGAAGAAGAGGAGGAAGAAGTGGACGAAGAAGAGGAAGAAGAGGAGGAAGAAAAAAAGGAGGAAGAGGAGGAAGAAGAAGAGGAAGAGGAAGAACTTCCTCTTCCTCCTTTCAGAGGAGGAAAAAGAAGAGGAACAGGAAGAGAAGGAGGAAGAAGAAGAAGGAGGAAGGAGAAGAGGAAGAAGAAGAGAAGGAGGAAGAAGAAGAAGGAGGAAGGAGAAGAGGAAGAAGAAGAGGAGGAAGAGCAAGAGGAGGAAGAGGAAGAAGAAGAGGAGGAAGAGGAAGAGCAGGAAGAGGAAGAAGAGAAGGAAGAGGAGGAAGAGGAAGAAGAGAAGGAAGAGGAGGAAGAGGAGGAAGAGGAGGTAGAGGAGAGAGAAGAAGAAGAAGAAGAGGAAGAAGAGGAGGAGGAAGAAGAGCAGGAAGAGAAGGAAGAGAAGAGGAAGAAGAGGAGGAGGAGGAAGAAGAAGAGGAGGAAGAGGAGGAAGAAGAAGAGGAAGGAAGAAGAAGAGGAGGAAGAGCAAGAGGAGGAAGAAGAAGAGGAGGAAGAGGAAGAAGAGAAGGAAGAGGAAGAGGAAGAAGAAGAGGAGGAAGAGGAAGAAGAGGAGGTAGAGGAAGAGAAGGAAGTAGAAGAGGAAGAAGAGGAGGAGGAAGAAGAAGAGGAGGAGGAAGAAGAAGAGGAGGAAGAAGAAGAAGAGGAGGAAGAAGAAGTCCAGTCCGCTATTATATTTTATATGAAAAGTCTTGCGGTTGCAACAAATGTATCCAAATAAAAACATTGTAATCCAAATAATGTATTCGTATTGCTGTCACACTGTACGGTGCGCTCCCCCTTCTCTGTCTAATGCCGGCCGTAGACGGGCCGAAATTCGCCTGATTTTTTTAACGTTGGTGGTAACGTCGGCTGATCAAACAACCATTTTTTTTTTTTTTTTTTTTTAAATTTGCCGATGTTCGACCCGTCTATGGCCTGCATCAATCCCAGGACTGGATGGACAGAAGTACAACTGTATGTTGACCATCTTTCCTCGGTGTGTTTAGTTGTCTGCCTGGAGTTCAGCTTTAAATCTTACAGTCTGTGAGCGTGTCTGTGCCCGGCCATTCCAGAAATGTTGGAATTCCAGACTTGCGCTCTGATAATTGGACACATATGTTCCTATCAGCTGTGATACATGTAGAGATATGTAGACTCATTACTGAGATGTATGTGTATTTCATGGGAACTGAATCTCATGTACCCCCCCCCCCCCCTTCTCAGACTACAATTCTTGTGTGTTTGGGATGAATACGTGGATTCAGTCTGCATCATCCAGAGGCGAGACATAAAGAGCGATGATCGAACGATTACAGACGTCTTCCCATCTGACACATGGCGGCTGGAGAGGGTCCCTGCACATGTACACCATATTGCCAAAAGTATTGGCCCCACCCTCCCAATCATGTGATTCAGGTGTTCCAATCCCCTCCAAATCATGTGACTCAGGTGTTCCAATCCCCTCCATATCATGTGATTCAGGTGTTCCAATCCCCTCTATATCATGTGATTCAGGTGCTCCAATCCCCTCCATGGACACAGGTGTATACAATCAAGCTCCTAGGCATGCAGACGGCTTCTACAAACATTGGTGAAAGAATGGGTCGCTCTCAGGAGCTCAGTGACTCCAAGCGTGGTCCCGTGATAGGTGGCCACCTGGGCAATAAGTCCATCCGTGACATTTCCTGGCTACTAAATATTCCACGCTCAACTGTTAGTGGGATTATAACAAAGTGGAAGCAACTGGGAACAACAGCCACTCAGCCACCAAGTGGTAGGCCATGTCACATGACAGGGCGGGGTCAGCGCATGCTGAAGCGCACAGTGCGCAGACGTCGCCAACTGTCTGCAGAGTCAATAGCTAAAGACCTCCAAACTTGGTGTGGCCTTCAGATGAGCCCAACAACAGTGCGTAGAGAGCTTCATGGAATGGGTTTCCATGGCCGAGCAGCTGCATCCAAGCCTTCCATCACCAAGTGCAATGCAAAGCGTCGGATGCTGTAGTGTAAAGCACGCCGCCACTGGACTCTAGAGCAGGGGAAGTGTGTTCTCTGGAGTGACCAGTCATGATTCTCAGTCTGGCAATCCGATGGACATGTCTGGGTTTGGTGGTGGCCAGGAGAATGGTACTTACCTGACTGCATTGTGCCAAGTGTACAGTTTGGTGGAGGGGGATTATGGTGTGGGGACCTGTAGTTCATCTGGAGGGCCTTGTGTTGTCCAAGGGTCACAGCCATCACCCCCTCCCCCCATCCTTTCAATCCCTCTCCAGCATTCTGATGATGGAATGTAAGCTCTTGTGTCAAGTGGAATCCCTTTGCGATAAATCTTTTTTTTTTCCACGCAAAGAAAAACAACTCTGCATAATGTATGGCGTGTTTACGGACATTCCGCATATTTCGCTGCCACATCACTCGAGATCTGCGTCTACATTGGGCTCCGTATTAATGCGAAATGTTTTGAAATGAATATGATTTAGCGTCCTTGGCAGAGCTCGGGGTATGTATGAAAAAACCTAGAGAGCGCGAGGCAACCCGGAGGAATTCCGCACAACACCAACTCCGCGGCAAGTTTGATTCGTAACAAACCTCGGTCTTCTCCAACTTCAGCTTTGTACATTGGGGGGGGGATATACAGGGGTGTCACTGCCGACCTGCTGGTTGCCTGCCTGTTATACTCATCCTCTGGTTTCAACACTTTTAGGCTTGGTATAGTTGTGTCTTTAAACCACTCCTCTGAAAAGTGATCACTGACCCCATTCAAAGATTTCCTCATCATTCCTGCTCTGCTGACAACTCATAATGTCATTTATTACTTACATTTACTTACTCCTGACCTTTGAACTCTGCATTACTTACTACTGACCTCTGAAACCTATTACATACCACTGACCCAGGCGCTCTGTATTACATACCACTGACCCATGTGCTCTGTGTTACATACCACTGACCCATGTGCTCTGTGTTACATACCACTGAGCCGTGTGCTCTGTGTTACATACCACTGACCCATGTGCTCTGTGTTACATACCACTGACCCGTGCGCTCTGTATTACATACCACTGACCCATGTGCTCTGTGTTACATACCACTGACCCGTGTGCTCTGTGTTACATACCACTGACCCATGTGCTCTGTGTTACATACCACTGACCCATGTGCTCTGTGTTACATACCACTGACCCATGTGCTCTGTGTTACATACCACTGACCCATGCGCTCTGTGTTACATACCACTGACCCATGTGCTCTGTGTTACATACCACTGACCCATGCGCTCTGTGTTACATACCACTGACCCATGTGCTCTGTGTTACATACCACTGACCCATGCGCTCTGTGTTACATACCACTGACCCATGTGCTCTGTGTTACATACCACTGACCCCTAAACTCTGCATTGCTTACTACTGACCTCTGAAACCTATTACATACCACTGACCCATGCACTCTGTGTTACATACTACTGACCTCTGAACACTTTGTTACTTAATAATGACCTCTGTATTACATGTTACCAACCCCTGCACTTTCCATACTACTGAACTCTAAACTTTGCATTACTTACTATTGATCTCTGAACTCTGTGCAATTCTTTCCTGCGCCCTGCACTCTGCATTACTTACTACTGAGCCCTGCACTCTGCATTACTTACTACTGAGCCCTGCACTTTTTGTAATGTACTACTGACCTCTGAACTCTGTTACTTACTATTGGAGCCTGAACTCTGTGATACTTCCTACTAACCTCTGAACTCTGCATTACTCACTACTGACCTCTGCACGCTGTGTTACATACAATGGACTCCTACACTCAGCATTACTTACTACTGATGTCTGAACTCTGTGCAATATTCTCCTGACCCCTGCACTCTGCATTATTTACTACCGACCCCTGCACTCTGCATTATTTACTACCGACCCCTGCACTCTGTGATATCATTGACCCCTGCACTCTGCATTACTTATACAGGGAGATCGCCACCTTTCCAGGACACTGAGTGGAGGTCAGTAGAGGGATTGGTAGAGAGGGGTGGAGGACACTGAGTGGAGGTCAGTGGAGGGATTGGCAGAGAGGGGTGGAAGACACTGAGTGGAGGCCAGTGGAGGGATTGGCAGAGAGGGGTGGAGGACACTGAGTGGAGGTCAGTGGAGGGATTGGCAGAGAGAGCTGGAGGACACTGAGTGGAAGCCAGTGGAGGGATTGGCAGAGAGATGTGGAGGACACTGAGTGGAGGCCAGTGGAGGGATTGGCAGAGAGGGGTGGAGGACACTGAGTGGAGGCCAGTGGAGGGATTGGCAGAGAGGGGTGGAGGACACTGAGTGGAGGCCAGTGGAGGGATTGGCAGAGAGGGGTGGAGGACACTGAGTGGAGGCCAGTGGAGGGATTGGCAGAAAGGGGTGGAGGACACTGAGTGGAGGTCAGTGGAGGGATTGGCAGAGAGGGGTGGAGGACACTGAGTGGAGGCCACTGGAGGGATTGGCAGAGAGGGGTGGAGGACACTGAGTGGAGGCCAGTGGAGGGATTGGCAGAGAGGAGTGGAGGACACTGAATGGAGGCCAGTGGAGGGATTGGCAGAGAGGGGTGGAGGACACTGAATGGAGGCCAGTGGAGGGATTGGCAGAGAGGGTGGCGGACACTGAATGGAGGTCAGTGGAGGGATTGGCAGAGAGGGGTGGAGGACACTGAATGGAGACCAGTGGAGGGATTGGCAGAGAGGGGTGGAGGACACTGAATGGAGACCAGTGGAGGGATTGGCAGAGAGGGGTGGAGGACACTGAATGGAGGTCAGTGGAGGGATTGGCAGAGAGGGGTGGAGGACACTGAATGGAGACCAGTGGAGGGATTGGCAGAGAGGGGTGGAGGACACTGAACGGTTGGTAAGGTGGATGAGTCTGGTAGCAGTATTCATGATGGACTGGAGGGGGGAGTGGCCTATGTAAAGGTCATCCAATGAGGAGGGAGTTGCAGTAGTCGAGGCGAGACATAACCAGGGAGTGAATTAGGAGCTTTGTGGTGTCATTGGGTAAAAAGGGGTGTATTCTGGAGATGTTGCAGAGGTTGAGGCGCCATGATTGGACAGGGATTGTATGTGGCCCTGAAAGGATAGTTCAGAGTCCAGGGTTACCCCCAGCACCCCGGCATGCGGGGGATGGGTTGAAAGTGGTGCTATTGATCCTGACTGAGATATCAGGGGAAGAGGCACGTGGGGGGAGGAAATATTCTGAGCTCAGTTTTGGATAGATTGAGTTTCAGGAAGTGGAGTGACATCCAATCTGATATATCTGTCAGTAAATCGGTGATAGGTGAGGAAACTGATGGGGTGAACTGAGGAGCAGAGAGATAGATTTGTGTGTCATCAACATAGAGATGGTATTGGAAGCCATGGGAAGGTATCAGCTGACCCAAGGAAGAAGTGTAGATCGAGAATAGGAGAGGTCCAAGGACAGAACCTTGGGGGACCCCGACAGTAAGAGGAGTAGGAGAGGTCCAAGGACAGAACCGTGGGGGACCCAGACAGTAAGAGGAGTAGGAGAGGTCCAAGGACAGAACCTTGGGGGGACCCCGACAGTAAGAGGAGTAGGAGAGGTCCAAGGACAGAACCTTGGGGGGACCCCGACAGTAAGAGGAGTAGAAGAGGTCCAAGGACAGAACCGTGGGGGACCCCGACAGTAAGAGGAGTAGGAGAGGTCCAAGGACAGAACCGTGGGGGACCCAGACAGTAAGAGGAGTAGGAGAGGTCCAAGGACAGAACCTTGGGGGGACCCCGACAGTAAGAGGAGTAGGAGAGGTCCAAGGACAGAACCTTGGGGGGACCCCGACAGTAAGAGGAGTAGGAGAGGTCCAAGGACAGAACCTTGGGGGGACCCCGACAGTAAGAGGAGTAGGAGAGGTCCAAGGACAGAACCTTGGGGGGACCCCGACAGTAAGAGGAGTAGAAGAGGTCCAAGGACAGAACCGTGGGGGACCCCGACAGTAAGAGGAGTAGAAGAGGTCCAAGGACAGAACCGTGGGGGACCCCGACAGTAAGAGGAGTAGGAGAGGTCCAAGGACAGAACCGTGGGGGACCCAGACAGTAAGAGGAGTAGGAGAGGTCCAAGGACAGAACCTTGGGGGGACCCCGACAGTAAGAGGAGTAGGAGAGGTCCAAGGACAGAACCTTGGGGGACCCCGACAGTAAGAGGAGAAGGAGAGGTCCAAGTACAGAACCGTGGGGGACCCCGACAGTAAGAGGAGTAGGAGAGGTCCAAGGACAGAACCGTGGGGGGACCCCGACAGTAAGAGGAGTAGGAGAGGAGGAAGTAGAGTTGGGAGTGACACTGAAGGTGCGGTGAGATAGGTAAGATCCAAACCTACGGAGAGTCCAGTCATGGAGACCAAGTAGATGGAGTTTTTCGAGGAGGAGGGGGTGGTCAACTGTGTCAAAGGCAGCAGAGAGGTCCAAGAGTACGAGTACAGAATAGTGACCATTGGTTTTAGCCAACGGTCACATCGAACTTCCTTTCCTGGTGACAAGAAAAAGATTTGCCAACTTCTTACCAATAAAAGTGGATGTTCACCGAACAAGAGCATTCTCCCGAAGAGGATTATACTGTATACTGCCTGTGAGTGACCATTACCGACATGGGGGGACGTTAGAGTGTAAGCTCCTCTGGTGCAGGGACTGATGTGACTGTGGGAGGAGGGGACATTAAAGTGTAAGCTCCTCTGGTACAGACTGATGTGACTGTGGGGGAGGGGACATTAGAGTGTAAGCTCCTCTGGTACAGAGACTGATGTGACTGTGGGGGGAGGGGACATTAAAGTGTAAGCTCCTCTGGTACAGAGACTGATGTGACTGTGGGGGGAGGGGACATTAAAGTGTAAGCTCCTCTGGTACAGAGACTGATGTGACTGTGGGGGGAGGGGACATTAAAGTGTAAGCTCCTCTGGTACAGAGACTGATGTGACTGGGGGGGAGGGGACATTAGAGTGTAAGCTCCTCTGGTACAGAGACTGATGGGACTGTGGGGGAGGGGACATTAGAGTGTAAGCTCCTCTGGTACAGAGACTGGTGTGACTGTGGGGGGAGGGGACATTAGAGTGTAAGCTCCTCTGGTACAGAGACTGATGTGACTGTGGGGGAGAGGACATAAGAGTGTCAGCTCCTCTGGTACAGAGACTGATGGGACTGTGGGGGAGGGGACATTAGAGTGTAAGCTCCTCTGGTACAGAGACTGGTGTGACTGTGGGGGGAGGGGACATTAGAGTGTAAGCTCCTCTGGTACAGAGACTGATGGGACTGTGGGGGAGGGGACATTAGAGTGTAAGCTCCTCTGGTACAGAGACTGATGGGACTGTGGGGGAGGGGACATTAGAGTGTAAGCTCCTCTGGTACAGAGACTGATATGACTGGCTCAGTGTTCTCTGTACAGCGCTGCGGTATATGTCAGAGCTATATAAATGTATAATAATAATAGTGTGTGACTGTGGGGGGGCATTAGAGTGTCAGCTCCTTTGGTGCAGAGACTGATGTGACAATATAATAATGGGAAGTCTGATGTCTCCTCTCCTTTAGATGGCGCTCCGGTCTACAATGAACCTGACATGGGGATACAATGTATAGAAATGATCCCGGCACACATGCGGCTCTTCCGGCGCAGACTTCGCACTTCAAAATCCCAATAAATAACTTTCCCGACTTCATAAATCTCCCCCGTCCTGTGAAAACCGCGGCCCGGAGCGGGGATCAGGGTCTGACACAGATTAATAATCTCTCGTGCAGCCTATAAAATGGATGTGTGTATGGCGTGTGCCGGGGAGGCCGACATTCATTTATGTTTGGGTGAAAGTGCCAGGAATAGCTGTGCCCATCCCCCTCCCCAGACAGATTTACAGTGTCAAAGCCTTCCATTTCCAGCAGTTTCTACCTTCACACAAACATGGACAGGCAGCGGTGACACGGCCTCTTGTGTCATCCAATGTCACCGACGTTGTTCAGCAGCTCGTAGATGTAAAGAGCAAAATCGATCATGTGACTCCTAATTTGTATTAAAGAGACCCTGTCGCCAAGTTAAAACAAAAACTGCAGGTAAAGCAGAAATAGCACGAAAGATTTAAAAAAAAAAAAAAAGCAGAGATCGCGAAAAAAAGATAACCCCCCCCCAAAAAAAAAATCACGAAAAAAGATTAAAAAACAAAACAAAAAAAAAAAACAGATCGCGAAAAAATATTAAAAAAAAAAAAAAAAAGCTCAGATCTTGAGAAAAGATTAAAAAGAAAATAAAAACAACAGATCACGAAAAAAGATTAACAAAAAAAAAAAACAACATCGCAAATAAAGAGAAAAAAAAAACAGATTGCGAAAAAAGATTAAACAAAAAACAAAAAAAAAAAAAAGCAGAGATCGCCAAAAAAGATTAAAAAAAAAACCCCCCAAAAAAATCACGAAAAAAAGATTAAAACACAGAAAAAAAAAACAGATCGCGAAAAAAGACTAAAAAAAAAAAACAGAAAAAAAAAAGCTGAGATATTGAGAAAAGATTAAAAAGAAAATAAAAAACAAACAGATCTCGAAAAAAGATTAACAAAAAAAAAAAAAAGATCGCAAATAAAAGATAAAAAAAAAAAAAAAAAAAGATCGTGAAAAAAGATTTAAAAAAAAAACAAACAGATCGCGAAAAAAAGATCAACAAAAAAAAAAAAACAGCGAAAAAAGATTAAAAAAAAAAAAAAAAAAACAGACCGCAAATAAAAGATAAAAAAAAAAAAAGATTGTGAAAAAAGATTTAAAAAAAAAAAAAAAGCAGATAGCAAATATTTTAAATGCTTACGTGCGTTTGTTGCATTGCGTTTTTATGTGCTTTTGAACTTCCTAGAGAATGTGACAACTCCAGAAAAGTCAGTTCCCTGGCACAGCCCTTCCCCCTCCTTAGACATCATAGCCCTCTCCTCCTCTGGAGTTTCTCATTGCTCTCTGTGCTGGCCCAGCTCCTCTGTCTATCCCCCACCTCTCTACATAGCCTGTTATGTAGCTGCTGGGGAAGCAGTGAAAGGGAACACTACGGAGAGACCATTGCTGACATCACATCCAAGATGGCGGCACCCAGCAGCAGTCTCAAGGCTTTTGGATGTCTACACAATCAGATCTGTAACGTGGAAATAACATTCATAAAATACTTCAGAGGTAAGATTGTCACTGAGATGAATGGTCTAGTGACAGGGTCTCTTTAAAGAGGTCTATCATTAAAAAATACCATAAAAATGTAGAAAAGATCGATCGCTCAAAAAAAAAATAAACACAAAATAGACACAAAACAGGTAGAAATTGTAGTAAAAATTACCTTAACAATGGCCAGTTTTTGTGATTTTTTTTTTTTAATTGATTTCCATTCTCAGTTTGGAGAGATTTCCTGCAACCCCTTGCTGATGCCTCCTGCCGGCCCTTT